ATTTTAAGAACTGTATTTTTATTATTTAAAGATGTAAAATTCAAACAAATAAAAATAACTTTTATATTTTACAACAATAAAATTATCAGTTCATTAACAGTGTTAAATAAATATCTAAATGTTTGTAAATAATTGTGATAATTATTTGAATGTTTACACTTTCAAAGTACAGCGAATTCTTGTTCCTTGTGTACTGTACATGTTTAATTAATTAATATCCCAGTCTGGGCGAATTATCCCATTTGGGATTATTGTCATTAATTCCTTCCAAATAAATAATCAAAATAATTAATTAATACACACACAGACTCAATAAGTCTGCCGCATAATTTATACTATTGAGTACTTTAAACAATTGATTACTGCAGGCTGACTTATCAAGTCTGTGTGTGTAATAATTAATAAATATGAATATAAATAAAAATAATAATAAAAAAGAAGATTACTCTGGGATTATAGTGTTTTCAAATGAAAATGATATATTTGTAAAACTAAAGCTAATATACATAAAAAATATATATATGAAAGGTTTGTAGTTTTTTATGCAAAAAATTTCCTTATTTGTGTTTCTTAGGCCAAGATTGACAAGGTTTTTTGTAATGAACTGAACACAGACATGACTTTTCATTATCACAGACTTTTTCATCTATTCTTAATTAATTAAAGTTAAAAAAAAAAATAATGTTAATTAACATTAACTAGAGTGATGACAAGTGGCAATAACAACCACCACCATTCTTAAAACACTTACCCTTGTCTTTCTCTTGGTTCATTTCCTTTATTTTTTCATTCCTCTGATTTTTTGTCTCGTGGCATTTTTTTCTTATTTTTTTTATTTTTAAAAAAGGGAAAAATAAGTTTGTGATTTCATCGATGATTTGGAGGACAGACGCGAATTGTTTTTTTTTTTTTTTGGAAAACAATTTATTTTTTGGCAGAGTCCAAGGTGACAAAACGTGAGTGTTGTTGTCTGGTTTCCTAAAGAAGACGTGTTAATGACAAAGGTACTATTTTTATTTGTATTGATATTTTTATTAATATTTAATTGGAATCAAAACACGGAGCAGATCTTTGGGCAACAATATTTTGCTTTTCGTAATCATTATTATTATTAATAATATTATTATATTATTATAATTACAAGATCTCAAGGCAACACACTGTTGAAAAAGAAACATTTTGAATATGTGATGTTTGATTATCAGAAAATAGTAGTCATTGAAGCGCGCGCACTACCTTGCATACTTTACAGTCATTCTTACATCTTCCTC